GTCCTGAAGACTAAGACTAAATCAAAGATGGCTGTCAAAAACCACACTGCTCACAATGCTGCAACAATATGTTATCAGTACTGAACAATCAGATTCAATTGAAAGTTCTCTATTGAAGCTGGAGCAAAGGATGATGATTATTCTGCAAAAAAGCACTGAACCCTACGGTTGTTTTAAACATGAGAATCCACAAACATTTATTTTCTTCTAATGTCAAATACCATCACATGGCATCAACCCCCCCCATCAGACAGCTTCCCCACCTTATGGACGTTCTTGGGATTCTCCAACCAAGCGTAGTACATCTCCTCCACATAGTTAGAACTGGTTCCATTGAGAAACGGTTCAGCAGCCGCAGACTCATTCAGGCTCCTCACAGGCTGAAGCGTCCTTACGCCTCCTTCAGGCATTGATGGCCGGCACTGTGCCAGGCTCTGGGCGGCCTGTGTGGCAGCTAAAGGCCGAAGCCTTGCAACTGTAGTCCTTAAGCATTGCATGGCTGCAGGTAAACCTCCGTTCCTGACGCCCCTCCTCAGTTCTCAGACACAGCAGTACTTCTTCCAGGTGTTGCTCCTCTCTCTCTCTCTNTTGACAGAGCAGAGTAGAGTACTGAGGTGGATAGCATATGATTCAGATTTTAAACCTAATGCAACAGATAAAACATTTAGTAAATGGGAAAAAGGTCCAAAGATATTCTGGGAGGTGGTTAAGAAAAATACTATACGAAGCTTTGAAGAAATAAAGAATAAATATGATTTAAACAACAAGGACTTCCTCAGGTACTTACAATTGAGGCACTATACAGAAGTATTACTAAAAAAGTCCAATTTAATTGAGCTGGAATCTGGTATATTTAAGATGTTTATTTAACCAACGAATCAAACTTGGGGAAGAAAATATCTAGATTGTACACAGGATTGGAAAATTTGAAGAAAAGCAATACAATATACATAAATGTAAGATGGGAAAAAGATGCTAACTGTGGACTTTCTCAGGACAACTTGTACACCAGCACAAACAAAATACCCAGATACTAAATGTTGGAGGCATTGGAGAGGACAGAGCAGGCCACTTCCATGTGTTTTGGGATTGTACCTACATGGTCCCCTGTTGGCAGGATTTAAAGAGTTGTATGGATAAGGTACTGGGGGTGGGTATTCCATTCACATTTGATGATTTGTTCATGGGGAGAGGGATGGAAAGATCCAGCTGAAATATATTTATAGGATTATGTTGGTAGCAAGCAAAAAAGCCAATACTAGGAAATGGCTCCTAAAAGGGAAGATTGGGTTGACATAATACATAATATTTATATTATGGAAAGGCTGACTTTTTCCATC